CAAAACTCAACAATATTAATTCATCAATCAATTAATGACTGAATTTAACAATCGAAAAGTTTATTCACTTCATTAAACCGCCCTAGATTATGTTGTTTAGTCGAATTTAAATATAAACTATGACAGAAAATATGTTTATATAGTTTGCCAATTGAATTAAATGTTTAACTGATTTTTCAAATCGTACATAATTTCTGAAATAATAATAAACTTTCCCAAGTTTATTTTTATTTAAAATCATAGAGGAATATGACTTAAATAAACAAAAAGGTGATGATTAGTAAATATGTTAAATATCAAAGAATAAAATAGCAGGTAAAAAGATTCAGTCATAAAACATAATCACTGTATATAGTAAATATAAATATTATAAACTGTTTACGGTCACAGTTTCATTTATATTTGGTGAATAATTATACTCTAATATCGTTTTTTAATCATTGTAAAAATTCATATAACAGACAGAAATTTTTCCTATTCTAAGCTGTTTCTTGCATTTGTCAGGCTTAGTTAACTGGACATTCCAAATGAAATGCATAGAATATATAAAAAGATAGGTGGGAATAAAATAAGTAACAGATTTTAAACAATTTGTTAGAGGATTGTCTTTTATTAGTTATCAGACAATACGTAAATTTACCTGTATCCCGTCTACGAGGAGATAAAACTTGACTGTTTTTACTTACTTACTTGCGACTGTTACTCCTAATGGAGCATAGGACGCCGACCAGCATTCTCCAACTCACTCTGTCCTAAGCCTTCCTTTCTAATTCCATCCAATTTTTGTTCATTTCTCTCATGTCTATTTCCATTTACCGGCGTAATATGTTCTTTGATCTTCCTCTTTTCCTTTGGCCTTCAGGATTCCATGTGAGGGCTTGTCTTGTGACGCAGTTGGGTGCTTTCCTCAGTGTGTGTCCTATCCACTTCCAGCGCATCTTCCTAATTTCTTCCTCTGCTGGGATCTGGTTTGTTCTCTCCCACAGTTGGTTGTTGCTAATAGTGTCCGGCCAACCGATCCGAAGGATTTTGTGTAGACAACTGTTAATAAACACCTGTATCTTCTGGATGATGGCGTTCGAAATTCTCCAGGTTTCCGCCCCATACAGTGGAACTGTCTTGAGATTTGTATTGAAAATCCTGACTTTTGTGTTGGTTGACAGTTGCTTTGAGTTCCAGATGTACTTCAGTTGTAAATATGCTGCTCTTGCTTTACCGATCCGCGCTTTCACATCTGCATTAGACCCACCATGTTCATCAATGATGCTGTTGACTGTTATTAGATTAGGTAAAACCCATCGGACCCAATCTGGACAGAAAAGATTAGTTTTAGGGAAAATGCTGTTGTACTCTCCAGTCAGTCAGCTACAATGTAGGACCAGGCACATATATGCGTCAGTCCAAGTTGCCATACCTCATTAACACAACAAGATGAACACCGGACTCATGAAAGTAGTTAATTCAGAGGTGGTTATAAATAAAAGAAAGATTGCATATAAGGATATAGTACAGGAAGAAAGAATTAGTTCGTAGAAAGAAAGATATGAAGCAATTTTAATCTCTTAGTTTAAGGGAAGACAGAGAGTGTATACACCTACGCCATTGTGATCGATTCTGGATCATGTCACCCAGAGTCTCCAACCATTGGTTACGATAGTCACGCGGACCCCAACCAAGTAGTCTGCATCTACCAACATGGCTCAGACTAGAAGTTAGTGACTTCAAGCACTGATGCCACGTTTTGGTTTGACCGCCACTAACTTTCTTCCAACCATTCCATACACTAGTCAGCATTGCACGTCGTGGTAATCGGTGTTCAGGTATACGTAACACGTGGTCCAACCATCTCAGTCGATGAAGATTCACAACCTCATCGACTGATTTACCATCCTTCCCTAATACCCTGCGTCTAACCTCACTATTACTTACCCGGTGATCCCAGCAGATGCCAGCAATATTTCCGAGGCATCTGTGGTCAAATACTAGTAGCTTACGAGTATCTCCTACTCTTAAAATCATCCTGTGACAACCATAGAGGGATTAGTTTAACTAATATAGTATCTAAAATACTAGCCTCGATAATTATCAGACGGCTAACTGAGACTCGTGAACTGCAAACACGAGAGAATCAAGCTGGCTTCAGACCTGGTCTTGGCTGCATCGACCACATATTCACTATTCGTCAGGTTCTAGAACACAGGCATACTTATCGGCGTCCGGCAATCGTGGTCTTTCTTGACTTAAAAGCAGCATTTGATTCCGTAGACCGTGAGATTCTGTGGCAGTGTCTGTCATTGAAAGGCGTACCTCAGAAGTACATAAACCTTGTGAAGGCTCTTTACTCGAACACTACTAGTCGAGTCAGAGCTTATGGTGAACTGTCACCTGATTTCTCAACCTCAAGTGGTGTCCGTCAAGGCTGTCCACTTTCTCCATTTTTTTTAACTTCATCATAGACCTACTGATGGAAATAACATTCTCGTCTACTGAATTCTCGGGTATTGATCTCCTTCCAGGAGGTCCACTTATCGACTTAGAATACGCGGTTGACATAATCCTGTTTGGTGAAGACGCTGATAAAATGCAGGGTCTTTTGGTAGCACTAAGCAACAATGCCAGAATGTTTGGAATGCGCTTCCCTCCATCTAAATCCAAGTTGTTGCTTCAGGATTGGCTGCGTCAACACCTGAACTAAGGATAGGGAGTGAAGTAGTCGAACGCGTTGACAACTTCACTTATCTTGGAAGTCTGATCAGCCCTAATGGGTTGGTGTCTGACGAAATCTCAGCACGGATTCAAAAATCTCGTTTGCCTTTTGTCAACTTACGTCACCTATGGCGAAGGCGAGATATCCATCTTTCAATTAAAGGACGAGTATACTGCGCGGCAGTTCGTTCTGTTTTAATTTACGGCAGCGAAACATGGCCATTAAGAGTAGGAGATACTCGTAAGCTACTAGTATTTGACCACAGATGCCTCGGAAATATTGCTGGCATCTGCTGGGATCACCGGGTAAGTAATAGTGAGGTTAGACGCAGGGTATTAGGGAAGGATGGTAAATCAGTCGATGAGGTTGTGAATCTTCATCGACTGAGATGGTTGGACCACGTGTTACGTATACCTGAACACCGATTACCACGACGTGCAATGCTGACTAGTGTATGGAATGGTTGGAAGAAAGTTAGTGGCGGTCAAACCAAAACGTGGCATCAGTGCTTGAAGTCACTAACTTCTAGTCTGAGCCATGTTGGTAGATGCAGACTACTTGGTTGGGGTCCGCGTGACTATCGTAACCAATGGTTGGAGACTCTGGGTGACATGATCCAGAATCGATCACAATGGCGTAGGTGTATACACTCTCTGTCTTCCCTTAAACTAAGAGATTAAAATTGCTTCATATCTTTCTTTCTACGAACTAATTCTTTCTTCCTGTACTATATCCTTATATGCAATCTTTCTTTTATTTATAACCACCTCTGAATTAACTACTTTCATGAGTCCGGTGTTCATCTTGTTGTGTTAATGAGGTATGGCAACTTGGACTGACGCATATATGTGCCTGGTCCTACATTGTAGCTGACTGACTGGAGAGTACAACAGCATTTTCCCTAAAACTAATCTTTTCTGTCCAGATTGGGTCCGATGGGTTTTACCTAATTTAAGAACAGTCAAGTTGTATCCCCTCGTTACCGCAGCTATTCGGTCGGTCCCCCCCCCAGTCTACTACATTGTCCGGACATCCCATGTACCTATACTAATTGTCGCTCTGGTCGTTAGAAGGGACGCCTGCCTCGTGAATTCCGAAGAATCTCGACTTTCACCATGAGGCATCATAACTGTTTTAAGTAAATATCCTTCAACTCCCAGAACGGAGTTCAAATGGTTTAAATGACTCTTTCTGGTTAGAGTTTTTAATAATGTTGTTTTCTATGGGATGACGTTTCTGAACCCATACCCAACCCTTCTCTTCTATCCGAGTTAGAAAGCGACAGTAACTGTAGAAGGGCTACAAATGGAGTTATTTAACTTTCAGCCAAACCTTTTTGTGTGAGTGATGATGATAGTTCACAATGTTTAATTCAGAATAACTGGGGCTATGTTCAGACCTCTAAATTAACATTTAGGAATGAAGCGCGATAACCTTCAAGATTACTCAGCAAAAAATTTAGATAAATGTGGATAACCAATTATAAAGTGCTAGCGGATACAAATAAAAAGTTATTAGTTACATTAGCTAATAACTTGACGTAATCAATAATAAACGAAATGGAAAACTGAAGACTAGCAAAGTGACTTATTGAGAAGGTAAAATGATTGTGGCATTATAGTAAGTACTCAACGACTATCTGAAGTGATAAAACACTACTTTATTGCAATGAACCAATGTTCCACCTTCACCATGTTCATAAAGGAATAAAACTAAAACCATACTACACCATACAGATTAATTATAATATATATATTAAAAAGAAAAAACAATTGGTGGTACAACCATGACTAAACAAAATAATGTAAGTGAACTAATTACATCACATGACTCTAATGTGTAAAAAGAGATCATCTAAATCAATAAGATCATACGTATGATATTTTTGAGAAGAAATTCAGATTTTACATTTACTGCTTTTTTTTCTCCATATCTATTTTGGGAGTCATGGTTTGTAATGTTTAACAAACCTGAAGTAAACTGTGATTCTTCCTGTAATTATACAGTTAGCAATAAATGCACATGAGTCAGTTTTATATTAGCTTAAATAATAAAGCTCACATATGATGATATCGGTATTTGAAACTGTGCCACTAAATAATGCAGAGTCGGATATCATTGTGAGTAATTTTCTACAAAACAAAAGTATAAAAATTAGCCAATCAATCCATAAGCGAATCTAATCCAGAACTTCAAGATATTTCTTTAATCAACACTAAGGGCATAACATCAAAACGTTTTACAATATTCAATATTGGTTGAGTCACATGACAATATAGATTAAAAAACTTACTCATCTAAGTCCAGTGAGTTATGTCTGTCATTAGTCCTGAAAACATCGATAGAATTCGGAAGAACATTTGAGTTCGTATTTAGATCGTTATTGAATGAGAAAACACCAAGAGATTCATTTGTCTGTTGACTAAAACTTGATTCATTCATATAACCATGAGTTTCTTTAGCCGACTCAGTTGAATCAGTCAGATCCGTGGGACTAACTGATTCAGAAATGCTTGTTGCTTCAACAGCAATTTCAACATCTAATTTGTTTTGCCCAATAAACTCATCAATATATCCAGTATATGATGTGGAATCTTTGTCGCTTGTCTAGATGAATTGAGAGGAATAGCAGAAAAAATACATATGTAAAAAATTATTACATAATGTGTCAAAAACTAATATGTTAGTGATTTATATAATTAGTTTGATAATAGTCGAATTAACCATCAAAATGTTACTTGCTAAGTGCGGGTTGGTTTTTTTACCGATGCTTATTTACAGCACAAATCACTAAATACAACAAGAGGATATATATATAAAGAGAGGAAGAGAGAGCATTAAACGTTTAGTCATTTGATAACCTACATGTGAGGATGGTGAATGCACATTCGCTTCTCCAGACTGCCGAGTACCCATACTAATAGTTCTCATTGCTTCATCTAAACCACTAATATCACCATCTTTGTCAGTGAAAAACTTGATTGTTCCGACAGAATCCCAGTCGTGTCTACTTGAGCTACCACGAATGTTTAAACCAGGCAGCTTTGGTTTTTTCGCACTCCTAAAGATAAAAAGGTATAGTTAGAAAGACATTGGTTAGTAACAACCTAGTGTTAAAAAAATATGTGACTTTCGATGGAGCCGAAAATCGATCAAGGACTAAGAAGTTCCTTAAGACAGTGACTTCGTCAAGTTATTTCAATCATTATGGTGACGCTAAATACGGAGTTCAATGACTGTAAATATGAATAATAAAAACTAAGTAAAATTTTTACCGAAGCATCTGACGATAATTTTAGATTGGGAAATATGAAGTGAATGTTTCAGGAGGAAAAACTAAACTACAAATACTCTTTGTCAGCAAAGTGAGATATGTGATGTGAATAACAGGGTCAAAAATACATGTGTTGAGAGTTTTAGGTTAAAAATGCTGAGAACAATGTGATGTATGCAACCCAAGTTCAAAAGTTGTGCGTCGCAAAATGACGAGGCATATGTTCAGTGTGGATCGGACTTTAGTAGTGAAGAGACACAATGTTGGTGCAAAGCGAAGCAAGAAATTCCTTGACTTACCTTTGGTGTTCGTTGTCGCTTACTACAATACTTTTGTGGACACTTGAATCTGTCCTTAAACCATACAGGTAACGTTGAACAGAACAACTTAAGCTACATTTAAGCCGAATACGTTTGGTTGAAATAACAAATTTACACACAATCTGATAATCGTTTTTGAGTTACCCCACTTAATTTGTTGAAAGTAGTGCTTTGCTCCCAAATGCCCTGGTACGGCCGAGAGTGTTGTGAGTCCGCCATCCCTCTCGAAATGCTCTCACACGGCCACGTGCATACAGCCTCTGTCAGGGAAGTCTTACTCACTGCCTTCTCTAGGCGGGGTGCTGTTTACGAAAATGAGAGGACGAAAAGCGAATGTCCGATGCTTTAACCGGATCCCAAACCAATGGTGCACATGGGCTCCAGTATCCTGCGGGAACAAATGGCGTATGAACCAATCGTTGGTCACCGGCTACAATGGGACTGCATCTCCTCACGATGCTCCACTGCCATGTAAGTTAGACCTTGAGGTCAAATGCTCGGGGTGTGGCCCCCTAAGAAAACCACCTGCTTCGGTCCGGGTACCCGGGCAGTATCACAGCCCACATACAAATAAAATGAAAATGACGATATTTACTGAGAACTCTATTCACGCTTCGATTAACAGTCAAACAATTCACATTATTATTATTTACCATGTCACTTATTCACTCTTTTATTTTCCCACTCTATGGTGGAAACTCGATTCTATCTAAACGTTCTCGAGTCACTGCCTGGTTGAAAATTGTATGTTACCACCGAATATGAGTACTGAAGCAGTTTTAATGAAACCACGTGCATCATTCAAACTGGCTGCCTTCAACGTTCGCACACTTATGCAGGTTGGACAACAGATAGGGCTGGCTATGTCCTTAGAAAGTCTTAATATCGATGTCTGCTGTCTACCCGAGACCCTTATTCAAGACTCTGATGAAGTACTACAAATTCGCTCTCCACTTGTCGCTTAGAAAAGCTTGTCTCACGTGCGTCTATACGGGGACTATATGGCATCTTCGTCTGGTCTTGCTGGCGTTGGTGTCGGACTAAGCGCTAGAGCTGAGGCAGCACTAATCGATTGGATCACCATTAACAGTCGGTTATGTGCTGTTAGAGTAGAGAGTTCCATCAAAGTGAGAAGAAATCGGAGTGAGAAACGATGTCTTTTTATCATCTCTGCCTATGTCCCGACAGATTGCAGCCAGGATGCAATCAAGGATGAGTTTTACCACCAGTTATCTGTTCTTCTCCAGAAAGTGCGTTCAACAGATATTATAGTACTAGCCGGAGACTTGAATGCTCGGGTCGGGCATCTAGGCACAGAAGAGAGTCGTTTAGGTGGCCGATGGGGACTTGTTGGTCGCAGGACAGATAACGGGGACCGTCTACTGCAACTGTGCACAGACTACAACCTGTTTCTGGTTAGCACTAACTTCCGGCACAGTCATCGCCGATGTGCCAGCTGGCGTCCTCCCTCCGCACCTCACGCCTGGACTCAGATTGATCACATCGCGATCAGCTACCGCTGGCATGGTTGTGTACAAGACTGCCGCTCCTTTTGGAGTACCTATCTGGACTCTGAACATGCCCTGGTCTGCGCCGACCTTACCTTACTTTTCAGTGGCCAACGAAATGACCGCCACCAACGGAATGATATAAGTTGGTTGCAACTTCTGTTGCTAGTGAGTATCGAATCGAGCTAGCTTCTAGGCTAGCTACCATTCCACCGAAAAGTATAGATGAGCATTGGTTGCAAATTCATGACGCCATGAAAATGGCGAGTAAAGCCGCTTGCGGCTTCGCGAAACATCCCGCTTATAGGCATTGGGTTTTTTCAGGCTCCTTACAACTCCTTGAAGCCCGTCGGTCTACTCCGGGTGACTGTGAGTTTGACCACAAAAGAAGGCTGTTGCGTAATGAAATCGGGCAAATCTTGCGTAAAGTGTTTGTAACTTCCTTGACTAAGAGAATTCCTCTGGTTGTACCTTTTCGTTTCCCCTATTATTATTATTATTATTACGCTACCACACACTAAGCTGTGGTCATTATTGTTTTTTTTATACGCACCTTACCTTCTTTTTCTCTTCCCATTCTCATTGTTTTGTGTGGCCAAATTAGTAAGAAGTAACCTCCAACATTGCAGTTGGATGCAGTCAAAGATGATTTTTTTATTATTATTTTATTTTTATTTGGACACATGAATATTGGTACAGGGGAGCGCCAATAAATATGCGCCACACAAAACAATGAAAATTCGAGAGGAATACAAAGAAAGAAAAAAAAGCTAAGGAGCGCAACAAAAAAAAAGAGAGAACAATAACGAAGAGATTGGTGTAAGGTAATGTGCTAGTAATCAGGGAACGCAAAGGTGCAATCGGAAGAAATCTTTCAGGTAAGGGAGACAGAACCACTTTTTATGAAGAAAGTAAAAGAAGGTTACAGCAGGATCGCCACTGGCTTCTATTCTGAGTCATATCTGATAACGTCTCTAGCCACTGTGTAGCACCATCTCTCAGACCCCAACCAGGGAGTCGTGAGGGACCAACACAAGCCAGCCGTTTGCAGCTTCCTTTCATCCCACGACACCATGTCATGCACTGACCACCTCTCCGCTTCTTCCAACCAGTCCCACAGTCGGCAAATAATGCACGACGTGGAATTCTCTGGGACGACATTCGAAGAACATGTCCAAGCCACCGAAGTCGGTGTTTCAGGATGGTGACACTAATTTCATTATCGTCTCTGTGCCCGAACACACGATGCCGAACCTCTGCATTACTGACATGGTGTTGCCACTAAATGTCAGCAATCCTTCGGAGACAGCGATGATCGAACACAGAGAGTCGTCTAACGACCTCAACTCAGAGAGGCCAGGTTTCACAAGCATAGAACAAAACTGCTCTCACCGACGCGTTGTAGATCCGACCTTTTACGGCCAGACTAACATCACGAAGGCGCCAAAGGTGGCCCAGATTGGCATGAGCCGCTCTGGCTTTCATTATACATGCGTTGATCTCACCACTCACGCCACCACCAGCACTTATGCAGCTACCCAGATACACGAACTTCTCAACTACTTCTATCTGTTCACCATCCAGGGTGAGTACAGGATTACGATCTTGCCAGTCTTGTAGAAGTATTTTGCACTTCGAAGGTGCAAAGCACATACCATACCTACGGACACTGATGGCCAACTGACTAAGTGCGGATTGCATGCCTTGGGCATTATCTCACAGTAAGACAATATCGTCCGCATACTCAAGGTCGAGAAGTCTTTCTCCAAGCAACAGATCCACACTACCATTACTTACATTCATCAGAGCTGTTTCCAGAATGTCATCGATGGCAAAGTTGAAGAGGAATGGTGAGATTGGGCAACCCTGCCTAACCCCACTACTCGAATGGAACAATGGAGAAAGGTGGTTGTATGCCCCCACTCTGCTTGAGGTGTTTTTATATAGGGCTTTTAGGATGTTAACAAACTTCTCAGGCACACCCTTCTTCAATAGACAATCCCAGAGAACAGTCCTATCCAACGAATCGAAGGCAGCCCTGATGTCAAGAAACACTACGATTGTTGGCCTTTGATAAGTATGGCAGTGTTCTAACATTTGGCGGAGGGTGAAGATATGATCAATACATCCTCGAACAGAACGAAACCCAGCCTGCTCCTCGCGAGTCAATCTTTCTCGGGTTTTGAACAACCTACGAAGTATGACGGAAGCCAATAGCTTGGACGCAATCGGAAGTAGACTTATCCCCCGATAGTTGTTACAGGAACGACGTGAACCCTTTTTAATGATAGGGACAACTACCGACTCATTCCATGACGTTGGCACACTCTCTAGTTCCCAAACCTTTGTAAACAACGTCGTCAATTCCTTAGTCAAAAAGTCACCACCATCTTTAAAAAGAGCCGGAGGTAAGTCATCTGGGCCAGGTGATTTGTAACGCTTCAAGAGTTGGAGTTCCTTGAGGACTTCCTCCTCGTTTGGTGGATCAGTCGTCACCGGCCATGGAGGGCAGGACAGTCTGACTGATGTTTCCGGAGCAGCAGGCCAGTTGAACTGCCCTTCGAAAAATTCTGCCCACCGTCCGAGACGTCGATGGATGTTAGTGATTGGCATCCCATCATCCTCGCAGATTGTTTCACTCACACCAGACTTCTTGCTGCCAGTGGCTCGGATGAGCATCCAACATTGCAGTTGGATGCAGTCAAAGATGTTTTTTACCACTAGCTAAATGATTTTGTCATCGAAGCGCATCTAATAGGTACTGCAATGCTAGTTGACAATTAACCCTTGACGTAGGTTTTGAGTTACTCAATACTTTTAAACAATTTGTATCGTAATATTCAGGTAACTGGAGCTGGTTGAAGGACTCAAGTAAGTCAGACCATTGATCTTGCTGACGGGTGTCAAACAGCATGAAACCTAGGTTCAAAATTCCGTGTAGATTGCCTCAAAGCATCTAAAATACCAACACGGCGCATGCGATGTCAAATGCTGAAACTATTGTCGACGTTGCATCTTTATATGCAAAATCCAATCAGCTGTAAAAGGACTAAACAAGTACAATATCGGTCACTACTTGGTGGTTAATCAATTACACATTGTACTTCATTCGACAACGTGAAGATTGATTGGAAAAAGTGGGTGTGCAATTTATGACAGTTAGTCAGCCATACTCAACGTAAACCTGATACATATGTGTCAGTTACCATACCACATCAGCACACTGAGTGGTAGGAATAGTAACAGCATCAGTATTAGTAGTAGCAGTAGTAGAAAATACTAAATATCGAGAAAGATAAAAAAAAATATAAGATTTAGGGACTCAGGTTTTAAGGGAAGAAAATAACGTCAATCCGAATCAGACAGTCCACTTGTTAATGATTTCATGGACTGATAACATGTTTCGTCTGACCGACCCTAGCTTCGTTCCAGCCTACTCCTATACTAAACAATATCACTCTCCGAGAGTATACGTAACGCGAGTCCCACCCACATGAATTGATGAAGTTTCCAAATTACTAACATTCATTTATTTACTTGATTATACCACATCACCTTTATTTATCTCCTCAAAACTTCATTCTCTGATTAGCGTAGCTTATATTTATCTTGGATTCTGTTTCCACAAACCAATGTCGTTAAATAAAATAAATGTTTATGAATACTGTGTTAACCACCCAAGGTTATGTGAACAAGATTCTAAGAATAAATACAAACTTTACTAATGATAAGTAACAGGCGTCAAAAATCACAATATTCTACTTAAAGCCTATGGAAACCTAATGAGGAAGTTTTTCACTCTACATTCTGACCAATATCATACATTGAAAGCCTGGATTATCCCGTCATTACAGCGAATTAATGGCAGCATTAAGACAGACAATATAATAAGGAAAACTGGAACCTAGAAATCAAAGCTTTCTGTGTGGTTGTAATTATTCTTACTAAAACCTTTGGGTTAAGCGATGGAGGTCGCTTTAAAAAAAACAGTATAAATAATAATTTCGAAACGAAAACCACGGTGATAACTTTGTGTTGTTGACTATAAATCTTACTTCATTTTAAGGATGGGCGGCTATAACGATGACGAAAAAGGCAAGTTCAGAAATACGATTCTAGTCAGTGTTACAAATAGACCCCATAAATAACTACAGTTATCATCAATGGTTTGTTTCGTAGTTACCACTCAGAAAGAATGCATAAGTCTAGATAAAACACTTCTTGTAAAAAAGCAGATTACCACCTGTTGAGTTACCTTTATTTTCTTTCTATGATTGACTGACCGCTTTTAGAAAAATTGACTTCAAGAGAAAGATTTACATAAAGAACTAGGCATCTGAATTAAATATTTTCCACCAACAAAGCATAGTGGTCCCAAGATAGGTTTTTCATGCGTACATACACAAGTATATGGTATACAAAAACCTAGGGTACTTGCCTGGCACCTAGCTATATTTATAACAAGCCAAATGCAGAAAAAATATAGACGAGGTGACAAGGAACTTTATTCAGTGTTATCAGTTCAACCTGATCAAAAGAGACACACCCTACGTGAAATTCGGTACATCACGCTAGCGCTTTGTTTCTATTTCATCATGATTCCACATATTCCGTGCAAATATATGCTGTGTATGAGGTTGCGCCGAATAGATAGCCCACCCAGTTCCCAGCCCAGATAACCTCTAGGCCAAATTTCGACCACGAAGCTACACGTGCACCAGTCTACGATATTTATCCGACGTACAAACACTAGCCTAGATCTAACCTGACACAAACCCATTAGCTAATAAGTATTATGTGTTAACACATGACATTACTATCCAACAGGAGCACATGACCTAGTAAAGCCTGAATTACATGATGACTTACATTTATACGTGGTAATAGTTGTCCTTTGTATATAAACAACACATCACTGTATATCTACGTTCAGACAGAACGTTTCGGACAGAGGTAACGCACACTAGGTTTGCCCCGCGCACTGTTAACCTGCACCAATAGCTCTAAAACCAAAATTACTTTTCGTCGCGATCTACGTTTTTACATTTTCACTTAATTTATACAGTAATTGTTACCAAATACACGTTTTCGTCCAATTCGGCATCCGATTCTCTTCGTAGACTTCATATATCACACTGGTTACGGCTCATCAGATATACCGCTTCATATATCACACCATGTTCTGCCTCATATTGCTAAGATATTAACAGCGCTTTTATATACCCGCTACACACATTTACAAACTGTGCTTTTAAACTCTACCTGGTCAATCATCCATCATCATCTTGAACAGTGTCCTTAATTTTGGAGTTATCTGTCTGTTATCAAAACTACGGAATCATTTTTAAGCCTGTCGACCAAACAACCACCAACGAATTTCAAGTAACTCTCGTGTCATCAATACATATTACATTTTATATGCTACCAACTTATTTTTATATATTTACATCCTCAGAACATGACTACTGATCGAGTATGGCTCTTCTGAGCAACTACGAACTTTTTAAGCCTTCTTATGGATATAGGGCCTAGTGGTAGATGTTGTAAGTAGGTGGTGCTATAAGCCCCGTTTTTTCGTTTGTTTGACATAATGTATGTGTAACGGTGAATAAGTCTCCAATATAATTGGCTCTGTAGGTCGTTAGTTTGACTGGACACATCTAACTGAAGGCGCTGGGTCACGCGTTCGCATAAGATCACGAGTAGGTACACCATGCTAAGCATCTCTTACGACTGCCAATCAGCTTAGACCAAACGCTTCTCGACATACTGATAGCTTTTAGTTCTGACTGGGTTGGTACACTTCGATTATAAATGTGTTGCGCGTCAATGCATTGTCAAACTCCAAATAACTATGGCAACTTTATATGCTTTTCGTCCAGCATTATTTGTTTAGTTTTAGTTTAGTTTCTTTTTTTGATGCTGCAACTGACCAAAATATGCCAATTCATGCTACATTTATATCTATGATACCATTTCGTGGATTTTAGTTAATTCTCTCTGTGTGTGCACTTCGACTGGCTTATGAATGATTATCAGGCAAACGAAAATTGGGAAAAAACGGTGTGATTGAAGGCAAAACGCACTCGCAACACTGGTAACCAGCAGCCACCATCTTGTTGAAGGAATCCATGATTGTATCTGTTCTTAATCTATGGCGAAATAAGATTCGAAGGCAACGCGTTACTTATTGTTTTCATTTTCTGCACTTTAAATGGTTTGACTTGACGAAATTATACGGTACGATGCAAATGATCACGTTTAATACAACCTACAACCCCGTTTTTTCATAAGTTGAGTGCAGGTATTTCACATTTCGTTACGCAAGCATGGTAAGCCTTACAGTTTATTTTTATTTCCACTCAGTGTTTCGAGAAGTTAGTTTTTAAAAACATTTTCAGTATGATCTGTAACCTGTTCCATGAAGATGCATTATTTAATCGTCAATAGTTGAGTTACATCAAATCTTTAAAGTCTTTGTATGCTATGTAAGATCGGTAGCAGATGGTTCGTACGTAAATTTCGCGTTTTTGAAGTTGTTTGGAAGATTTTAAAGATATATTGTTCTATTAATTCTGTTGTATGAATGTTAAGCCATGGTGAAAAGAATGAAGAATTAAATACACCTCACTTGAAATGAAATAAACAACACAATTGTAGAGGCAGAAGGCAACTTAGGGTCATTTCAAACAACAACAACTCCAATGGAATTACAGACTCAGCGAGGCGAAACGCAGAACGAAACGTGCCATGAATTGATGCTGAAATTAGCCACACTCCTTCATTAGCACAAGGATTTTATTGGTCGCCAAGACGAATGGTGGAATAACTGTGATACGATCACATTCATCAGGTTTTCAGTACGACGTGTTATGAATTTTTATCTGAAGACTCCATTTACAGCAAACCATAGAAATAATTACACAAATCACAAACTAAACAGGTCACTTTTACGTTGAAATTTTATGTAAGTGCGCTGAATTAAGATAAATGCTAAACAATTCTAGGGCTATCTGGAGATATAATGACAAAGTAAAGAATAAGTGTACATATGATTGGTATATATATATGTATATATTAGTACAAAGTAGTAGAATTGTCAGTCGCAAAGGACATGAATAGATGATTTTAGGAAGTATAACGAAACCATTGCGATAAACGATTGTGGGAATCTAAGAAGCAAAGTTACTGAAAGGTTTGTAGCGTGGCGTCGAGTTGAGATTAACTGTGAACACCGCTACCAAGAAACACGTGCCAGACAAATCAGAAGGCGAGGTTGAACGTAACCAGATTTATTTCGTTGGCGATCTCGTGGTATTGAACGAATACCGAGATCGTGCCAAGAAGTGGTACAAGTGGAAGCAGAAGACAGGAGTACGTGCGAACAGTACCAAAAACCGCGGAACAATGATGGAAGGTAATGGAAGCACAAAATGGCTATAATTAGCACAGTTAAACAAAAGCACATTAAAACAAACACTGGTACAGTTGGTTATAATAATAATTGTTTTTATTAAACCAGTCGTGTTCTCGTGATAAACATGAGTCACTACAGGTTTCATATGCTTCATTCAAACGACTAACGACAGTAATGTATGAATCTGGTGGTAAGGATTCCAATAAAATAACCTGAGAATCATTCAGTCCATCGGGACAAATAACAATTGCTAAAGGTCCAATTATCTCAAAGTTTTATTGAGATGGATGTGATAATGTATTTCTAGCATTATTTGTTTGGTTCAAACATTCTTCCTTCTCTAGGCATCCAAAACTGCATTCGTGTAAGCGGTTTCTAACAAACATAAGAGCGAGCTCACTACTTTGCACATGAATTAATAAGATGTATTTGCATGAGTAGTTGCGTGTTTTAAATACTCTACTTTAAATGCCTCCCTGTGTAAAAATCTGTGATTTTTCCCATTAACAAGACAGACGCGTTATGAATGTGCACTTTAAACATGGATCGTTCAAGAAAAGCAGTGTCCTTAAAGCTCACTTACTAATTTTAGTCTGCAGCTAGTGGATAAAGGGATTTTCTGTCATTGGACGAGTCTGTTGTACTGATCGCCAGACTCTACTATGTTACAATAACTGGTTGGTGTCCATTCGACCAACACTACATTTTAATAACATTATGCTAAATCGAAACAATAGGGAAACATACAAAAAACGACTTCATGCACCACGTAGTGTCCCACGGATGTGATTAATAGGTTGCAGTCACTGAGTACAAACTTTCTAACTGCTATTCTGAAATACAATGAAAAACATAGATCAAGTCAGAAGTACCTGATTATTTCAAAAATTATAATTCCCTAACATCGTATGATCCTATTGGTGGAATAAGCTTACCGTGATTTTTCCTGCATCACCTGAACGTTCAAGGACTCCCACGATAGCGCTAGGTCGAAGTTCATCGTCATTTTACATCGCACTTTAAACCTGGATATTGTCAGTATAACACTTATTCGAGTAAAACAAAAGATCAATAAAATATCTGGAATCTAACGGTAACCGCAGATTTTTCCCTTGTATTAATAATTTATAAAACTAGTTTAAAGCCAGCAGATATAAAGTTATGCTGACACTCGTTATAAGACCTGATAATTCACATATGAAGGCTTGTTATTTGTGCAAATAAATTTATCAGTGATGCATTTTACAATACATTTTTCGACGGTCAAGAATTTTTTTAGTTGACTTAAATGTAGTGTAAGGGTGTATATGCGCTTTTCTTCCCCCTGACATATTTAATTTTACTCTTGATTGTAGGATATTTGGGGGACATGTCAGTGCTGTAAATTTATCAACACATCTGGGTAATTTATGTCGTAAACATTTGGCGTTGATATTTCCAATTCCTTGAAGACAAATAGCAGATAATAACTAAACTAACGATGATGGGATATCATTATGAATATGGAAATGGATGTTTATACTTTACACGTTGTTTAGAATGAGTCCTCGACTATGACAGGCAGTTATCACGTTACAAAAAGCTTACGCCATGAATGTAAGTTGCTCGCTTTATTTTTAACTCTATTGTGTAACTAGACAAATTCAGGAAAAGTAAATACGGGGTTTTCGTGTTTTTGTGTACCCCTCGTTCTACTGACATAGGATAATAGACTGGCGGCGAGCATATCTTTATTTAGACCATGGAAACGCAAGGTTAACTTTTCAAACACAAAGATTTTCAACGTTCAACATAAAATAACAGGGGATATATTCTCCACAAAAAATAAGCCAGTGAATGAATACTTGAGTCATAATTTTCTGAGATTTACTTAAATATTCTTAACCACTCAACCTAAGTTGCTACAGAGTAACAGTTAACCTGTCGGACGTTCTCAGTTGTTGCTGAATGACGTATAACTGAAGGATGAAGAAAATTTGGGGGGATTTTTAAGATACGATCTGTTTCTGTTCAGCCAACTTCCAAACAAAAGCACAAATGGGAGTGGACCGAATCGAACTTAACGCGCAGACAAGCTTTTATAAGAGCTCGTAGGATTTATTAGTGCTACCTAATAATATTCCTAATCCCATAATAATAGATTTGTCATGATGTAGCTACATAATCTATGAGATCTTACGTGGCAGTAACATCATTGTCTACACTGACTCATTTTATCATAACGATCAGCGAAATGACGTCTAGTACTTCTGACTAACACATTTGAGCTGGGAACAGATTAATATATTTGATACAAAGCGTAAGATGCTATGAAGAATAACCGCGCCTGCATGAACGAAACATATCGTGTTATTTAGGTTAATTGTTCCCACGTTCACCACTGATGATCTCATAATGTTACGTGTTTCATGTAAATTTCAGTCATCATACGCTCGGCTTCGGTGAATGTGTGATTAAGAACTAATGCCAATACAAGCCAATATCTTAAATTTACATTCCCTAGTTAAACTACGGCAAGGCCTCTGGATAACAGTTGCACATTAATGAAACCAAATCATTAGCCTACTCA